TATATATATATTTATATATATTTTATATGTAGATGGATGAAACTAAAATTGCTTCGTCTCTGTAAAATATATATTTATGTTATACAACATATGCGTTGTATATATACAATATGTAGCTAAACAATATATATATATGTATATATATATATATATATATATAATTATATATATATATACATATACATAATATATATATATATATATATTAGTAGAGATAAAACTACGACTCTGTGGTTTAACCTTTATATCTTTCTCTGTCTTTATTTCTGTTCTCTCTCTGATTAATATCTAAACCCTAAACCCTATAAACATTTTATCTATTTGTTTATCTTAATTATTATTTATTATTTATTTATTATTATTATTTAATTTTTAGTTCTTCAGTAGCGTTCGTTTTTCGTCTTTGTTTGCTTTGCTTCTTTTTGTTATTACTCGTTTATCTTATTAAAGAGCAAGCTGCATATTATAATATTATAAATTATATTATATTATTATAAACCTCAATGTAATACAAACCCTAAACCGTAAACCCTAAACCCTAAACCCTAAACTCTCATCTCCCCGGGCTTCAAACATCAAAAACGTCAACAGGGAATCAGCAGCAGCAGCAACAGCAGCAGCAGCAGCAGCAGCAGGTGTTGAAGAATCTGCTGCTACTGTAGCAGTAGCTGCTACAGCACCTGCTGCAGCTGCTACTGTCTGTTGCTGCAGGTTTATCTGCTGCTGCAGGTTTGTTTGCTGCTGCAGGTTTGACTACAGCAGCAGCAGCAGCCGCAGCAGCACATTCTTTTGCTGCTGCTGCTGCTGCTTCTCTTGCTGCAGGCTCGAACCCCTTATAAAAACGAATAAATACAGTAAATAAATAAATCAGCAGGCTGTTTGTCTATGAAACTCTCCTTCAAACTGCAGCAACAAATGCTGCTCTACGCCGCTGCCTCTACCGCTGCTGCTGCTGTTGCTGCTGCTGTTGCAGCTGCTGCTGCTGTTGCTGCTGTTGCTGCTGCAGCAGCAGCTCTTGCAACTCCTGCTGCTGCTGCTCCTGCGGCAGCATCTCGTACTGCAGCAGCTCCTGGTGGAGCAGCTCCTCCTGCTGCTGCTGCTCCTTCTGTAGCTGCTGCTGCAGCAGCAGCATGTCCTGCTGCAGCACCTCCTGCTGCAGCACCTCCTGGTGTTGCTTCTGCTCCTTCTGTAGCTGCTGCTGCTGCCGCTGCAGCAGCAGCCTCTCAAGCTGCTCCTGCTGCCTCAGCTGCAGCTGTTGCAGCTGCTCTTGCTGCTGCTGCTGCTGCTTCTGCTGCTGCTGCTGGCTGCTAGGAACGTATCTGTCCTATGACAACAGGCTGAGATCGGGGGTTGCGAGAAGCATCTGCTGCTAATGCATCTTGTGCAGCACCAACAGCAACAAGTGGTAATCCAACAGCAACAGGTGCTGCTGCTGCTGCTGCTGCTCTTGCTGCAGCAGCAGGAAGACAAGACGAAGGATGAGCAGACTCATAATGATGAATCAATTGCTCTATTTGTTTGCGAGAAGGTTTCAGACATGCTTGTAAAACAAACCAGAGTATAGTGACTAACAACCAAGAAGAAGATAAAAAGAAATACGCAGGCTCTTCTGTCCTATCAACCTAAACAAACAAACAAACAAACAAACAAACAAATAAATAAATAAATAAAATAAATATCATTAAATATAATTAAATATCATTAAATATAATTAAATGTAAATAAATATAAGTAAATATAAACCCATTAGTTTAAATAAACTAATCTAAATAAATTAATTTTAATAAATAATAAACATAGAGTTATAATCATAAACAAATGATAAACTAACAATAATTATAAACATTTAATAACAAACTAACCTAATATAAATAAATTAATAATAATAAATAAATGAAATAATATATACGCATATATAGATACAATATATATATATATATATATATATATATACGAGGCCTGATATCGTACAGCAGCAGCAGCAGCAATAGCAGCAGCAACAGCAGCAGCAGCAGCACCACCACCATCACCACCACCATCACCAGCAACAGCAACAGCAGCAGCAACAGCAGCACCACCACCATCACCATCAACAGCAACAGCAGCAGCAGCAGCAGCACCACCACCACCACCAGCAACAGCAGCAGCAG